TATATATATATATATATATATGGATTGGTCAAATAAGTAACATTCACCATGTCTTTGGTTATTTAGTTTCTTAGCTGGTGTTTTAGCTTGGAAAGATCCCCAAGTTCTGGTGCCCGCTCTTCAAATAGCTGAAATTTTGATGGAAAAGCTTCCTGATACTTTCTCTAAGATGTTTGTAAGGGAAGGTGTCATTCATGCTGTGGATACATTGATACTCACTGGATCTACTAGCAGTTCACAACAATCTCCAGTTCATAAAGATAACGATTGTATTCCAGGGTCATCACGGTCCAGAAGGAATCGTAGACGAGGCAGTAATACTGGTTGTGATACAAATACAGACGTCAAAAGCTCAATTCCAAGTATTGGTTCAAAGCAGCCGAATACAGTCGAAATACCAACAGTCGTCAATTCTAGCCTCCGTGTCACAGTCAGCGCTTATGCAAAAACATTCAAGGAAAAATATTTCCCTTCAGGTCTGGAGGGTAGCGAGAGTGGGGCCACGGACGATCTCCTACACCTAAAGAATCTTTGCACGAAGCTCAATGGTGGAATAAACGAGCAAAAAAATAAACTGAAGGGAAAATCAAAATTAACTGGTCCCCGGCTTGGCGACATTTGTTCTAGTAAAGAGGAGAATTTGGTTGAGGTGATAATCGATATGCTGCGGGAACTCAGCCGAGAGGACGGGGTCTCGACTTTTGAGTTCATCGGCAGTGGAGCTGTTGACTCTCTGCTTAATTACTTCACCTGCGGCTATTTCTCCGAGGAGAGAATATCTGAATCGGACCTGCCCAAACTCAGACAACAGGCTATTAGGAGGTTCCGATCTTTTGTTTCTGTTGCTCTTCCCTTGAGCATTGAAGAAGGCTCTTTAATTCCCATGAGTGTTTTGGTTCAGAAGCTTCAGAATGCTCTGTCCTCTCTAGAGCGCTTTCCTGTCGTGCTTAGCCACGCATCACGGCCGTCTAGCGCCAACGCTCGCCTTTCTTCTGGCCTGAGTGCCCTTTCTCAGCCATTTAAGCTGCGCCTTTGCCGGGCACAGGGACAGAAATCCCTCCGTGACTACTCATCGAATGTCGTGTTGATTGATCCGCTGGCGAGTTTAGCCGCTGTTGAGGACTTCCTTTGGCCAAGGGTTCAACGGGGAGAGTCTTGTCAGACTCCGGCGGGGACAACAGGTACAGGGACTGGTGAGGGTTCGCCATCTGGCTCAACTCCGGCTTCTGCTGCCAGGCGTCACTCGACTCGATCAAGATCTTCGTTTAATATAGGTGATGCTGGGAAGAAAGATTTGTCGCTGGAGAAATGTTTGAGCTCATCCAAGGCCAAGGGGAAAGCGGTTCTGAAGCCTAATCAGGAAGAGAGCAGGGGGCCCCAGACCCGAAATGCTACTCGTAGAAGAGCAGCAGTGGAGAAAGACAATGTGATGAAGTCGGTGGAGGGGGACACCAGCTCTGAGGTATTCGTTTGGCTCCACTGATGCCTTTTCTAGTGGATAGGCTGGTTGGATTGTGTTCGAGTCTGTAGGCTGTCTGGGTTTTGGATGAGTATTGCATCTGGTGGGTGAGTAGGAGGATAGACCGACGGATAAGCCGATAGGAAGTAGGAAACTGTTAACTGCCCGTGTCCTCTATTTTCATATGCTATCCGCTTCGTATTAGAAACTGTTACTGTTAGGTAAGATTAGAAATGGAAGTATTAGAAATAAAGTTGGGGTAGCGTCCATGGAGGAGAAAATGAGAGACTCTCGATTAAGATGGTTTGAGCGTGTGCATAGGAGAGAGTTCGAGGCACCGGTGAGAAGGGTAGGAACATTAATGCAAATTAAAAGGGGGAGGGGTAGACCGAAGAGAACTTGGAAAGAGACAATAAAAAATGATTCAAAATATTTAAATTTGTATAAGGATATCATACGTGCTTTGATCGAGCACGATGGTGACATGTGATCCATATAGCCGACCCCACTTAGTGGGATTTTAACGGCTTGTTGATTGCTTGATTGATATCCGCTTCATATTATGATATCTTTGTCTCTGTGGGTGCTCATCACGAGATCCTCTTTGAGAAATTTCTCTGATTGTGTAATGTGTTTCTGGATGTTTGCAGGATGATGAATTGGATGTTTCACCTGTGGAAATTGATGATGCTTTGGTGATTGAAGATGATGATATATCTGATGAGGACGATGATGATGAAAATGATGACGTAAGTTCATCTATTTGCTGATTTGGTTTATCCCTTCAATTTGTAGATGGTGGCATATATTATACGATACTATTGTTTGAATCATATTATCTTTTGGTATCAGTTGATTCCCATGCATATGATGGTAACATCTTTTGCCTGACTGTTAAGGAGTGTGTTGTGTGTGAAATGGAAATCTCAAATTCAAGTTATAACTCATTAGAACCATCATGTGACATTTAATGTGTGAAAGTGTAGGCTGTTCGTGAAAACGGGGCTATTAAATAATATTTACTAATTCCTGCCATTTATTCATTGGCTAAAACGGCCATTTATTTACATTTATCAACAGGTCCTAGGAGATGACAATCTTCCCGTGTGCATGCCGGACAGAGTGCATGATGTTAAGTTAGGCGATTCTGTAGAAGACAGTCCAGTCCCTAAATCAAGCGATGGACATATCAATGCTACGTGTAGTTCCAGCAGCAGAGCTTCTACTGGTGGTAGTTTGTTCGGTTCAAGAGGAGCAATGTCCTTCGCTGCTGCTGCCATGGCTGGACTCGCATCTGGAAATAGTAAAGGTCTGAAGGGAATCCGGGACAGGCGTGGCCATCTCTTATTCGGCTCAAAAGGTTCTCCGAAGCTAATATTCACCGCAGGTGGAAGGCAGCTTAATCGAAACTTGAGCATTTATCAGGCTATTCAAAGGCAGCTCGTTTCAGATGAAGATGATGAAGATAGGTTTGTTGCCGGCAGTGATCTTGTATCTAGTGATGGCAGCAGGCTCTGGACTGATATTTACACCATTACGTATCAAAAGGCCGATGGTCAAACCGAGGGGTCCACGATTCCTTCTAAGTCAACGAAAGCCAGCTCATCGACCCATCACAATCTCTCTATGTTGGATAGCATTCTTCAAGGCGAGCTCCCTTGTGATATGGAAAAAAGTAACCCAACCTATAATATACTAGCACTTTTGCGCGTATTGGATGGGTTAAATCAGCTCTCCCCACGTTTACGGTCTCAGCAGATGATCGACATGTTTTCTGAGGGGAAAGTGTCGAGTCTCGATGACTGTCTCGGCTTGACCGGAATTAAAGTCCCGCCGGAGGATTTTATCAATGGGAAGCTTACTCCGAAGCTGGCTCGTCAAATTCAGGATGCTCTGGCGCTTTGCAGCGGGTCTCTCCCGTCTTGGTGCTACCAGCTGACGAAAGCCTGCCCGTTTTTGTTTCCTTTCGAAACTCGCCGCCAATACTTTTATTCCACGGCGTTCGGATTGTCCCGTGCATTGTATCGGCTCCAGCAGCAGCAGCAAGGTTCAGATGGTCATAGTTCGTTTAGTAGTGAACGGGAAGTTCGGGTCGGGAGATTACAGAGACAGAAGGTCCGAGTTTCGAGGAATCGAATATTGGATTCTGCTTCGAAAGTTATGGAGATGTATTCGAGTCAAAAGGCTGTTCTTGAAGTCGAGTATTTTGGTGAGGTGGGTACTGGATTGGGGCCCACTCTCGAGTTCTACACTCTTTTGAGTCATGAGCTTCAGAAAGATGGATTGGGAATGTGGAGATCATCGGGTTCTTCTTCTGGTGGACCCTTGTTAGGCAATAAAGGTAATATTATTCATGCGCCTCTAGGTTTGTTCCCTCGTCCTTGGCAGCCCAATGCTGATACTTCAGATGGCAGCAAGTTTTGTAAGGTGATCGAATATTACCGTTTGCTTGGTCGAGTTATGGCAAAGGCTCTCCAGGATGGTAGGCTCTTGGATTTGCCACTTTCAGTTGCCTTTTATAAGCTTGTTCTCGGTCAAGTAAGTGTATTGCAATTGTAACTTATTTGTTTGGAGCATTGGATTTATTTGCATTCAGTCAGAAAATTGTGGGAAGCAGTTTGTTTTTTTGTTTTTTTTTGTTTTTTTTTTTCTATACAACTTTTTTTTGGTGTAAAATGATGTGTTGGTAATTGTGCAGGAGCTGGATTTGCATGATATTGTTACGTTTGACGTGGAACTAGGGACTACTTTGCAAGAATTGCAAGCGCTTGTGTTGCGAAAAAAGTATTTAGAATCAATGGGAAGTTTTGACATGGGAGAGTTGTGTTTTCGCGGAGTGTCGATTGAAGATCTTTGTTTGGATTTCTCCCTCCCGGGCTACCCTGAGTATATTTTGAAATTGGGCAGTGAGAATGTACGCTATGTATCCTTTTTTTTTTGTTGCTTCTGTTTATATATATCCAATTTCCTGTTAACTTTACTAA